TCTATCGAATCCATGCAAACACAAGAGTCGATGGAAAAATTGCTGCTTGAAATCGATATTTAGGGAAATTGTACGTAACGCATTGCTCCTATGTATATAGTAAATGTAAAAAATAATGAATTTCTACAGTTTTATAATAAAGATTGAAATTCGAGGTTTTATTTTATCATTCGTGAGTGTTGGGAATTTCCCTAAATTTATTTTTGAAAAATTACACAAGTAACTTAGGAAATAAAAATTTGGAAAAATTGGGAACTTTAGTATTTGGTAATTATAAAAAATAAAGAATCTCTATAGTTTCATAATAAAGATTGGAATTAGAGGTTTTATTTTATCATTCGTGAGTGTTGGGAATTTCCCTAAATTTATTTTTGAAAAATTACACAAGTAACTTAGGAAATAAAAATTTTTAAAGATTGGGAATTTTAGTATTTGGTAATTATAAAAAATAAAGAATCTCTATAGTTTCATAATAAAGATTGGAATTCGAGGTTTTATTTTGTCATCCACGAATGTTGGGGATTTTCCTAAATTTTCTTTTTGAACAATTGCACGAGTAACATGGAAAATAAAAATTTTTAAAGATTGGGAATTTTAGTATTTGGTTATTATAAAAAATAAAGAATCTCTATAGTTTCATAATAAAGATTGGAATTCGAGGTTTTATTTTATCATTCGTGAGTGTTGGGAATTTCCCTAAATTTATTTTTGAAAAATTACACAAGTAACTTAGAAAATTAAAATTATTAAAGATTGGGAATTTCAGTATTTGGTAAATGTAAAAAATAAAGAATGTCTACAGTTTCATAATAAAGATTGGAATTAGAGGTTTTATTTTATTATCCATGAGTGATGGGGAAATTTCTAAATTTATTTTTGAAAAATTGCAGAAGTAACTTAGGAAATAAAAATTTTTAAAGATTGGGAATTTTACTATTTGGTAAATGTAAAAAATAAAGAATTTTTTAAGTTTCATAATAAAGATTGGAATTACAGGTTTTATTTTGTCATCCACGAATGTTGGGGATTTTCCTAAATTTATTTTTGAAAAATTACACAAGTAACTTAGGAAATAAAAATTTTTAAAGATTGGGAATTTTAGTATTTGGTAAATGTAAAAAATAAAGAATTTTTTAAGTTTCATAATAAAGATTGGAATTACAGGTTTTATTTTGTCATCCACGAATGTTGGGGATTTTCCTAAATTTATTTTTGAAAAATTACACAAGTAACTTAGGAAATAAAAATTTTTAAAGATTGGGAATTTTAGTATTTAATAAATGTAAAAAATAAAGAATATTGATAGTTTTATAATAAAGATTGGAATTCGAGGTTTTATTTTATCCTTCGCGAGTATTGGGAATTTTCCTAAATTTTCTTTTTGAATAATTGCAAAAGTAACTTGGGAAATAAAAATTTTTAAAGATTGTGAATTTTAGTTTTAGTTTAATGATTATATTAAGGATTGAATTTCGAGATTTAATGTAATAAATTTTGGAAAATTGTGATTTGAGATGTCTTTGAAAAATTGAAATTTTAAAAGCTGCTGATATTGAGATTCGTGGCCCAAGAATGAATGAATACTTTTATTAATTTATAAAGGAAATTTAAATTCACGTACATATGAATTTCCAATATTATTTTACACGATTTCTATAGAAAATTGGCAACAGGAAAAAATATAATCTTAAAGATTACCCATGTCCCAGAATGTAAATTATTTTATTAATTAACTAATAGAATTTCAAGTTTCCCTTTATTATCCATAAACAAGTAGATTTCAAAAATTTTCAAACCTCCAAAGAAATATTCGATTTCAATACGATATTTATTTAAGAAATACTTTAAACCAATATTTGACAGCCAATATTTTTTGAAAAAATGCTAAATTTTGTTATTCTACTTTCACTTGTATGTAACGACAGTAGTGTATATTTAGAATTTTTTCCCCAAAATTGCGGTACTTGATTTGTTATGATTTTTACTGGGAAAGCAAACAAATTTTTTTCAACAAATTCTGAACCTCCAAAGAAAAATTCGATTTCAATTCGATATTTATTTAAAAAATATTTGAAATCTTACTGACACCGAATATTTTTTGGAAAAATGCTAAATTTTATTACTCTATTCTCACTTGTATGTAATGACAGCAGTGTGTAATTAGAATTTTTTCCCTAAAATTGCGATACTTGGTTTTTCATGGTTTTCACTGGAAAAGCGATTTTGGTTAAATTTTACTATTTTCTCCTATCGATTATCGTTCGAAGCTACTCACCACTTATGTTCCTATCGAAAGTGGCTGGCTCGAAAGCTGCAAGGAGTACGAAAGTCGCGGTGAGCATTTGTTGCCGGAACACTCGCGTTTTATTTATAGAGGCTACCTTGACTCGGGAGACCCAACGCAGAACTCAAAGCGGAATATGTGAAAACATCTTTAGTAACACGTGCATCGGTGAGATCCGCTCGATACCGCAGCCAATGTCAGCTCGATTTTTGCTTGTCCAACGTCTCCGATCATTTTGATCACAACGGGAATAAAAGTAGAATAAGGGATTCAATATTTCAAAAAAGGATCTCGAATCTTGGAATTTTTATTAGAGCTGTGGAATAATAGAAGTGTCATCGACCCAAACGTTGAGATAGTCAAGTGCTTAACCCATTAATGGTGAAACATAAAATAAATTGCAAGTTAGATTGCTTATTTTAATCAATTTTATATATTTCGTTTGATTATTTATTTTTTACTTCAATGCAGTGGAAACATTGTCAAATTGCAAAATGCAATTGCAAAATTAAACAACTTTGGCTTATGACAGGTTAGTGTGCCTTTAAGGACAGATTATAAAATAAATTATAAATTAAATTATTTATTTTATTAGTTGCAATAATTTTAATTTATTTTTTATTTAAATGGAATGAGAAAATTGTCAGATTCGAGATTGCAAAATTGCAAAATATATATTTAGACAACTTGGAATTATGATGTGTAAGTATGTCTTTAAGATTCGAAATTATATTGTGTATTTTAATAATTGTAATAATTTTAATTTATTTTATTTGATAATTTATTTTTAATTTAAATGGAATTAGAAAATTGTCAGATTCGAGATTGCAAAATTGCAAAATATATTTAGACAAATTCGGCTTATGGTGTGTTAGAGTGTTCTTAAGATTGGAAATTAGGTTGTTTATTTTAATAATCGTGATAATTTTAATTTATTTTTAATTTAAATAGACTGAGAAAATTGACAAATTCGATATTGCAAAATTGCAAACATTGTTTAGACAATTTTGTGTTAAGCTGAATTAGCATGTTGTTTTTAATTGATACTTAATTACGAGAAGGCATTTAATTTCATCAACCTAGCAGAAATTTGATGAAATTTTGATGTTGGAATTTGAGAAGTGGCGTGATAAAATAGTTCACCATTTATTTTTCAAAGACATAAACTATTACACTGTTTACAGAAGGTTTCATGAGTTTAAACTTGGAAAATGTATCTTGAAATCTATTTCACGTATGGATCTAGCATTTGGAGAATGCTGTATAAATGAATTACAAAATATAATCCAAGAAAATATTTAAAATCTATCCAAAAAATTATTTTAACAAATAGGAAAATTTGAAAAACAAAGTTATTACTTCAAAAAACTAAATAAAACACTTTCATATTCAGAATAATATTGAAAACACAAAAATAATCTTCGATACAGAAGAAATACAGAGAAAAAAATTTGCAATGCACAATTAATTTAGAACCTTTCATTTGCAACGATGCAATACTTCCCTTTCCTTGACTCAAATTATTCAACTGTGGTTTAATAATTTACTGAAACAAAAATTTTTGCTTCTGCAATACGAACAATTCACTTTTTTCTTTGCGATAATGAATTTTTCACTCTTATAAATATTAAAAGGCACATATTAGAAACAAAAGTGCTGCTATGAATGGGGTGCATACGACTGAGGCAGTGTGAACGCGAAAATTGGTTTGTCAGGCAACGTGTTAACCCCTTCGACCCGACGGGCGTAAACCGTATGCTCAGTGTGTATAAAATACAAGAAATTATCGTTCGGAATATCAAAACAACGTAATCCTACGATTTCTATTCAAAGTGTCAAGAAGAAATCGATATGAAAATAAAAATTCGTCAGTTCGAGTCGAAATGTACATACATGGGGGTGAAAAATATTTCCATTTTTCTCAAAATGAAAGAATATAATTATTCATTATTCCATTATTATTTAATTTAGCGAATTTATTATTATTATTGTGAAAAATATTTCCATTTTTCTCAAAATGAAAGAATATAATTATTCATTATTCCATTATTATTTAATTTATCGAATTTATTATTATTATTATTAATCCATTATCGAATTTACCATATTCATTGGTTCCACGATTTTTCAATGATCCCATACTCCCATTTCATTTTTAACCAGAAAAATAACAAATTTATCACATTCCACGGTTTCGAGGTTAAATTAAATATATGAACATTTAGAAAAATTTGCGAGTAGATAAATAATACACAAAAATTGCCATATTATAACTGTCTTTACCTAACCTTAGCCACCAAGCGTGGACAGAATGTACATATTGAAGAATCGAAATTTTGATCGCACGGAACCTTGTGAATCGTGAGAAAAAGATAAATATATGAACATTTAGAAAAATACCCGAGTAAATAAATAATACACAGAAATTGCCATATTATAACTGTCTTTATATAACCTTAGCCACCAAGCGTGGACAGAATGTACATATTGAAAAATCGGAATTATGCATCGCACGGGACCTCGTGAATCGTGAGAAAAAATTGTGCAAAGAGAACGATTTGTTCGCATCTGATGAGAGCAGTAGCCTGTCAGCTGCACAGAGCCCACCGCATTGACCCACAGAGCAAGTACGACGAGAGCAAGTGACATGGAATCGATAGTCAACAGATAGCCAGACAAAGGACGGATTAAGGAGTGTGCATTAAAACGTACTCACCAGAATTGACCGTGTTCGTGTCTGCGTCCACGGACTCCGTCTTCTGTTTCTTCGGCAGGTCCTCCTTGTCTTCGTCGGAGGCCTCCGTCCGTCTCTTAGGTGTGGAGCTGGCGCTAGCCTTCAGCTCGATCGGGCTGCCAGTATCCGGGCCGGAGCCCTGAGGCGTCGGAGGGCTCTCCAGCCTGCCTCCGCCCCTCTTGTTGATGGGCGCCGAGATGCTGGGCACCGAGTTCAGCTTTGAATCCTGGTCGCCGGTCTTCAGGGCTAGCGCGTCCTCTGGGTCGGAGTCCTCCGGCGCGGCGGTGGCCGGCGGACTGTGGCAGCCCTGAAGCGTGCTGCGACAGTGGTTCACCTTGTGCTCGATGAACCGCACGATCTCGCCAAGGGGGTAGGACACCCTGCAGCCCCCGCATTGGACGGTGTCTGGGGATGTGGTGCCTTGCGAGGTTTCCGCTGCAACATTCCGCCATTCCCGAATTTTAAATTCAAATTCGCTTCTGACCGACGTGTTTGTTTGTCCGTTTCGCTTAAATTTACGTTACTTTTCGATTCACTTTTTCCTCTTTTCCTTTATGTTCTAGGTATTCTATACGTGTGCGTTGCACGATGTGTTACACGGTACACGAGGATTTTTTGGCTGTTATATATGTTACAGGTCTTGGAAAAAGAGAGGATTTTGAGGTTAGGTTTGCATATTTCTATTCATGTTTTATGTATGCTAGGTATATGTCACGGGAAGTGTTGGAGAAGGAAGAGATTTTCGGGTTAAATTTGATTTTCTTGAACATGATATAGGAAATATTGCAGAATGAGAGGATTTTTAGGTTAGATTTGGGTCTTTCGTTATTAAGTTTACTAGATAGAGGTTATAAATGTTAGAGAAAAAGGAGATTTTGTAATTAAATTTGATCATGTTCAATATGCTATAGCAAATATTGCAGAATGAGAAGACTTTTAGGTTAGATTTGGTTTTTTCGTTATTAAATTTGCTAGATAGATGCTACAAGTGTTGAAGAAAGAGGAGATTATGAGATTAGATTCAATTTTTAGGTTAGAGGATTTAATGTTATAGGTGTTGGAGAAAGTTGAACATTTTGTGATTCAATATGTAATAGCAAATATTGCAGAATGAGAGAATTTTTAGGTTAGATTTGGATTTTCCGTTATTAAGTTTGCTAGATGGATATTATAGATGTTGGAGAAAGAGGGAATTCAGAGGTTTGGATATTTCATGTTTTATGTATTCCAGGTATATGTCATAGGAAATATTGGAGAAAGAAGGGATTTTTAGGTTAAGTTTAGTTTTGTTGAATGTGCTATAGGAAATGATGGAGAGAAAAGATTATGATTTTGTATTTTGACTTTACTAGATATATATTATAGGTATTAAAGAAAGAAGACCTTCCAGGTGTGGGAAAAGAAGTGATTTTGAGGTTAGTTGAACGTTTGATTGATTTATGTGGATAATAACAATAATATTAATTGATAGTTTTAATAGAAGATACGAATAAAATATTTTTGGTTAATAATTGTATCCTAACCTAGAAATAGCATCTAAACTGTACACTCAATTCTATATATTGAAATTAATAAATTACTTATTATTGCAGAACTATTAATAACAATTTATTAATACGTTATTGCATTAATTTTTTATCCAATGATATAATTATTCGCAATGAAAATTTGTGATGCATCCAGTGTCTCTAAGAACAGTAGTATTACATTGGTAATTTTTGGCGATACGTGGAATAGAATTTCGACATTAATAATTGGTGGATTTCAAAAAATTTTTCCACCAAGTCTAGCAATATTCTAAGCGTCCAATTTTACGCGTCTCGCACAAAGTCGCACACATGTTCCTATGAAACTAAACAGAAGACCCTCTTAAGAATTCGCCCAAAGCTGCAGACACTTTAGATAAAAGGACACTTGAAGTCCTTTCTCTTGAACCTGTGTCTTAGACCACCCAAGAAATTTCACCGTCTCGCAATATTTTATCTTGTCACTTTAACTTTCCACTTTTCGGATGAAAAGTTCATTTGTTCGGTTATATTCGGCTTAAAATAGGACCCTTGGTGCCCCTAGTAACGTATTGGAGCGCGGCCCGATATTCCGACTCGGTTTTAGAATTTAAATTACGGATGAAGAATCCATCGATTACCAATGAAATTAAACAATCAGCGAATTATACTTGAGGATTTTAATAGTGGTTGAAAGCCAACAAATATTTCAGTCCTCGTTGTTTAATTATTCAAAATTACTTCTTATCCGAATAGAAATTAAAACTTTCAATAATTATTTCCAACCACCTATTTATTTTTCTCCTTTAAATTATATAAAGCATATCTTTATTTATAATTTTAATAAAACGGTATATTTATCAAAACAGTATATCTATTAAATACATATAATATATTCGAAATGGATAAATTTTTATGCGAGTTGTCAGAGAGAATGAAGCAACCTTTCTTCTTTTTTTATCTAAAATCAATTTAATGATATAAATATAATTTATATATATAAATTAATAATTTAATTATTAAATAATTTAGATAATAATTTAATTCCATTACCAATGTTTGTATATATATATATA